ACTCGAAACGACTCTATGATGTGACGTAACGAACTCAGAAGCATCCCAACTCAGTCAAATTCCAGAATAATATATGAATTCAAGAATAGATATCAAAATCATCAATATTCAAACTCTTTTAGGTCGAATCAAAGCTGAAATTAATATGCTTGGAACGTGGGAGAACGATCCCAACGTTATGAGAACCTCACATACCTGATAGAAGTAAATCCTTGGCGAAACACAAACTTTCTTGATCAATCTTGATGAATTTGGCCTTTTTTTCTCTTTCTTCATTTCTCTTCTCGTTTCTCCTTAGCTCTAGCGTGAAATTCCGAATTCTAAAACTGTCTAAAATCTGATTTGACCCATATTAAACTCCTAAAAATGGATTAAAATAATAGGGAAATGAAAAGACTAAAATACCCCTTAAAATTCTGGATTAGACATTTCCTTAATCGAACAGCCCAACTTCCAAAGGGGATAACGCACTCATACAAACTTGGAATCACGCAAACTTGGTGCCGTTGGAAAGATCATTCCAACCATATCTGGAACTACACCTAAAGCATCCTAATCTAGGAGTTATGATCGTTTGAAGTTGACCAAAAACTCACTTTAACTTACTTAAACAAATTCCAGATTTGTCACTATTTCCAAAAATGACTATTTCAAATTCTTAGCTTCTTCCTAGCTATTTCGAATTGCGAGATGTTACAACTACCTGTATCTACATCATTAAACGATGCAGAACAAATGACATCAGTACATAGAATGTAGAAGCATGTAAGGGGAATTCTAAAGCATAAACATAAGCTTGAACTAATGGAAAAGTAACATACTTACCTCTTCTCAACTCAACTCAACCCAAGGAATACTCAAAGTTACTCACTCAGAAGTACTCAAGGATAAGATACTCAACTCAGTGAAACATATTACAACTCAACTCAGAGAAATAGGGCTCAACTCAATAATAAGATACTCAACTCTGTGAAACATAGTTCAACTCAACTTAGAGAAATAGTGCTCAAATCAATAATAAGATACTCAACTCTGGATTACTCAACCCAAGATAAAGCAACAATAGAAGATGCAAAATATGGAAAGCTTTTAAAATAGTAGATAGCAACTCAATGTATTGAAGAATACAATAATAACTCAGTTTGTATGCAAGGATACAAAATAACTTTGTTTGTATATGAAAATATGAAATAAACTCTGTGGGAGATTCTCTAATCGACAACCATCACTATGAGCTATGTCATGATACAACGTCTAGCCAACACTGCCAGAACTGTCCTATACTTTGTCAAGGTATATAACATACTACTAAGTGGATCCACTAGTCTATGCTAAAAAGCATTAAGGAATCATCTAAAAGTATGACCCTTTCTACCCACATTGGCTACATGGTTTATGAGGACTTTGAATTATCTGAACTAGTCCCCATATAGGTGCTCAATACTACTCCCAAAAATATAACTAGCTCATATGTTTAAAAACATAACATTTTTTGTGTTTTCAGATTATTACTCAAAAGTCTTTCTCTTAAAATAGATGATACTGAGAACTGCTAAAAAACTTTTTTGAAAATCGGTGTTTCCACTTAGCTTAAATGTGAAAACATTTACTCTGGGAATACTTAGTCCCATATATCATTTTAAAGAAAATGAACTCAACTCTACTCTTTCTCAAACTCAACTACTAAAGTTTTAAAACAAGTTTAGAATAATTTGTAAAAGAGTTCCCAAGATAGGGTTCATACCGAATTATGGACGTGAACGACTTAATTCAAGGTTTTCAATAACCATACATAGGACTCAATGCTCGAAACTCAAGAACTCCAGAACTCAGGAACTTCAATGATACTACACAGTTCAAGAATGCTCAACTCAGAGGGTTTATACGAAATTATGTGCATGAACAACTCAACTCAAGGACTTCATGATACTACTCATCTCGAGAATGTTCAACTCATAGGCTTCGTGCAGAATTATGGGCATAAACAACTCAACTCAAGAACTTCATGGATAACATGTAATAGTCCCATGATTAGAAATATAATCTCAAAAGGGATTAGGAACTCAATGCTCAAGAACTTAGAAATTAAAGATACTACTCCTCTCAAAGATGCTAAATTTATGAAGTTCATGCAGAATTTATAGGCATGAACGACTCGACTCGAGGGTCTACATAACAATATGGAACTCATGTATACTAATCTTATCATTCTCATACTTACTTCCTCAAAACATAGTTCAAATCGATAGTTGATCTCAAAGGATTCACAATTAAACTCAAAGACTTTCTTGAACTCTACTCTTAACTCTCTCTTGAATATGAATTATGAATTCAAGAATTATGCTTCACGTTATGAAGGATCTCGTGATGATAATGTAGACTCATGAATACATCCTCCTCATTATCATACACACTTGCTCGAGTCTTGAAACAATTTATAAGTAATTGTAGAAGATTCCTCGAAAAGACTCAAACGGACTTTCTCAAACAACTCTGAAGAACTCTCAAGACTTCACTCTTAACTCTACCTTGAATTTGAATTATGAATTAAAGGTTATGATTCATGTTATGAATGATTTCTAGATGTTTAGAAGTAGTTTAGAATCAAAGGGGGGTAAAGGTACCCTTTGGAAGAACTCAGACGGACTAAATGACGGAGAACGGGTAGGGGCAAGAGACCTTGGCGCACTGATTGGTGCAGGGCGCCAGCCCTCATCCTACAAACAAGTGTTTCTGCTGCACTGTTGGGGCGGCACAATAGCCCCAGCCCAAAAAAACCCCGACAACTTTTCTTTCTCATTTTCGGACCCTAACTCACCTAGAATCGAATGGTTTCTTCCCCAATCAATTAGATTCGAATACCCAACCAAAGTACACAAGAATCTACTAAAAAATAACTCTTAAAATCCAATGATTATCTCAAGAAATCATCAAACCCATTCTAGTTCAAGAATGTAAACAATACTTCAAGAAACTAATCAAGAACTCAAACTCTTCAACTTCAAGAACGAAATTTCGCTGAAAATAACATGATTGGCGTGTGGGTGAACGAACCCAACACTATGAGAACTTACATACCTCTTAGGGATTAAACCCTTGGCGAAATAACCTTCGATTCGCTAGAAAAACTCGATGAACGCTTTGAACCTTTTGCTCTTTTCTCCTCTTGAACTATCTTCTAAAACCCTAAGTGTATATTAGTATTTTAAGAATGAATCAAATCATTTTAGACTCCTAGGTATTCCGCCTGGGTATAAATTCTCATCGCGATGACCAAAGTTTCGTGATCGCGTTGAGTTAAATGGTTCAATTCATTAAGTTTGACGATCGCTATAACGCAAACCTCCACTCGATCGCGATGACCAGAACCCTAAAGCTTCACGATCGTGAAAGTCATCCACACGATTGCGAAAAATAATTAACACTACACTAGAAACAACAAACCAACAATCAGACAAGGCATAAAATATTTCCGAGATGACCCTCGAGATTGGTTTGGAATCCCTTTCACACAAACCAAATATGCAACAAGACTAAACTTTATGTTTCAGACTAAATGGAACCATCAAAATATGAATCCTAGGTCTCCTTGACCCGAAACCCCGTAAAAGTCAAGAAATGACCATAACGTACGCTCGGGACCTCTAAATTTCAACTAAGACCTCTCCTAGACCTAAAAGCAATTTTTGAATCCAATGGAACTGTCAAAAATCAGACCGAGCATCTCAATCCTTAATGTTGACCAAAGTCAACCCAAAGGCTAAAATCTCAATAATTTCCAACTTAGGACTTCAAATCCACGAAAATACTCTGAATTTAAAACTGGCAACTCTCCTAGACTAATTTCCACATTCTAGAGTTGACGGAATCGATGAATTTTCATTCTAGGACTTGAAACTACCAAAAGACACCGAAAACCACTTTTTAACAAACTTTATCCTTCCAAACTTCCATAATTTTCATAATTAATAACTTTTCACTCAAAACTCGAAACGAATTTTAAAATCAATCAAAAAGGACTAGAGGTCAATATTGGGAGGGTAAAATGATAATTTTATAAAAAAAAATCAAAAGGGACCTTCCGAGTCATTACATAGCTAGCTTAGACTCCCTCCATTTTTTTGTGTTAATATTTTTGATTTTATCTAACTTTACCTTTACCATATGATAATATATTAAGATTTGTATGCCAATCTCCAAGATGTAACTTTTTCATATCAATGATCATTGGAAACAATTTAATTAAAAAAACATTGAACACATGAAGCATGGATAATTTAATTTGGTAATACAATATTGGCTGAGATAGGTCCTTCTTTTATATCATGTAAAATTAGGCTTTGGGCTTAAGTCACACCCCTAAAGCGAGCCCAAAAGAATAGGATTGTCCAAACCATCATTGTGAGACTTTTTCATTCTTCAAAAATATCATCGTTAGTGAACGAATTTAGTTTTATGATTAATTTCATTAGGAGTGGTATGAATTAATAACTTAAAATGTTGACGAGTCATAATCAGTGCATCTAGTTGACTTTTTTTTGTAATTGTTGTTTAGTTTGATTGTATCCTATTACATAATCTAATATTTACAACAACAATGGGAGTTTTAGTAAATTAAATCATTATCATATGGTACAATACATGAATCCAACTAAATAATAAAAAATTTATATAACCGTAACAAAGATACAATTTATTCAAACTTTATTATGACCACAATACAATACAAATACAATACGATTACGATGCATTTTACAGTGATGATAATTAATAATCATCCAAACAAGCTGGAAATGAAATAAACCAGGATTTAATACAACTCAAGTGTTGTATATGTTTTAAAAATGAACATGACAGAAAAAAGACAAACCTACCACACATTTGCTTAGTAAATTAAAAACAACTATTGTTTATTTCAAACATTCCCCATGAATTAACAGCTCATATATTATGAATGGCATATTAAATGTCTTGAATTTATTGTATATGCCTTATTTTGCTCTTAATATTTGATTGATGAAGGTGCAATTTCATCATTATATTTATATTTTGACAGATTCAGTCAGTATCGAGTTAATCATGTTTTTAAGTTTGCCTTTGGCGTTGGTGTATCCATCTTCCTCTTTATATAATGTGTCTATCACACGTGCGAAATTTAGAACTCGTTCAAGGACAAACATTGGTACTTCAGTTGGACGGAATAATTCTTTGTTTATGTCCTTCCATGCATTGGTGACCTCTTTCTGAAATTTAATGTAAGTCTCTTGCTTTGAAGCTCCATACTCTTTCATGTAACATTCAATAATTGAAGCTACATGTCCTCTTTCTTGTTCATCCTACATGAAATAAATAGATGTCAATATATTCCATGTATATAATTAATACATTTTAAACATTATTTTTTCTATTATATTGTAGGCTTCTTAGCTAACTTTTAAGAATTTGAAGTAAATAAATCGAATACACACAATATATGTGTTCCTTCTGTATCATATGCAGATATATTTGAAGCAAATCCAAACTATTCAACATCATATGTTCTTCAAGCAACTAGGACTATTTGTTTTCTTTCTTTCTCTTTTAATTTTTGTTATAAAATATAGAAACTTTTGTAATATTTTGAACAATAGAATTGCTGTGACTTCTAGTATTTTTTTAAAATATAAATTTTATCTAAAAAGAAAAACTAAAAGATTGTATAGTAATAAAAATTCACACCGGAGAGTAGTTAGTTTGGCCCTCACACAAAGTGAAACATAAGAAGTACTATTGTTTTTGATAAGTCAAGTCACTATTATGCCTCATTTATTTGTATTTAATGAAAGTTTGAATCTTAATTGATCATTACGCATATACTTATTGTTGTACTTACTTCATGTCCAACAATATCGTCCATTGCTCTGCTAATCAATGAGGAAGCTCGAACTATCAAAGGCTCATTCATCAACCATTCAAAAGTGTCTTTCGATATAAATTCCTCCATACCGATCAAGGAAGTTGTTGATGCCATCATATAGGCAGCGCTTACAAGTGAATTCTCCATGTGCTCCTCATATTTTGGAATATAGTTAGCATCATTTAACCATTGGGCTTCCTTAAAATAGGCTCTCACCAACTTTTTCATCTAAAAACAATAACAAGTAATTTAAGCTAGACAATTACTACTAGCTAGTATCTTTTTTCCTTTTGGAAATAATGGTAACGTTGTCATAGCAAATAAGGAGGGTATTATAACATGGGAATCGAAATTAAATTCTCACTAATTAATAAGATAAGCTGAAAATGTAGATAGTCAACCAGTTGAATTATCAAAATTTACTTAATTGATATAATTATGTGGGTTAGGTAAACAATAATATTACCTCATATTTTGCATAGTATACACGGTACAATTTACCGTCTTTGGATAACACTTGTTCCATTTCACTATAAATGTCTAGAAGAGCTTGATAAGCAGGTCTCATATATGGCGGTATTGAATCGGTTGCATTAACATCCCATCTAATATATCATCAAAACCACAAGCTCATTAACTCTTACACCTCGTCTATATATATATAGATTTCATAATAACAACAGGAAAACATATTTACATTCTCCTATTCATTATTGAGGGATTGTCAAAAAGATTATTTCACTTGTGAAATTTTGATGTTTTACCTCTGGATTGCATCATTGAAAGTCACAAGTTCGTCAAAGGTTGCATAAGCATCAAAAGTGTCGTCAATAATGGAGGTCATCTTGAGTACTTTTGTCATCATTTTTCTAGCACGACTATATTTTGGCTCAAAATACACTCCTAATATCCAAAAGTAACACTCAACCAATCTGTCTCTTGCATATGGATATTGATTTGCAAAATCCAAATCTTTCCACCACCTACATACATCACAAGAACAACGATTTTGTTGCATGCATTACATTTTTTACTAATTCCAAATTACCATTACTCATCTAATTAAAAAGATATATAGATCAAATAATGTTCAACCTTGTAAGCTCACTAAGCTCTCTTTGGTGGAACTTTTGCAGCATGTTAAAATCCAATTTAGCAAATTTCTAAAGCAAATAGTTGTGTGCATCGTTAATTTCGTAAATGGATATGTATTTCCTTGCACCCATCCTTGCTAAAGTCATGCGAATAGGCTGACTTAAGGCTTCAGTTACTTCAACCTTAAGAGAGTTATTGCTCAAGTTGGAGACAATAGACTTGAGATGAGTAGTGGTAAAGGTAAGAGCTTCTTCAAGAATCTCCTCATCACGCACTCTTAGATGTGATGCTTCATACAAACTTAATAATCCTTTGACATCATTAGTAAGCGTTTCCTTGAATTTTCCATCTTGTTCGGTGAATTGCTTGAAGACATCTGGTTAAACATCATGTTCGTTGTTAGTTATAAGAATTAAAAGTTGCAGGGCTCAATTAACGCCCACAAGTAGAAAACGAAGAGAAATAATGAAGGATGGAGTACAATTACCAGAAGACATGTAATGGCCTTGTTGCCTCACAAGTCGAAAACGAAGAGAAACAACGTAAAGGTTGTCATCGTTCTGTTGGGAAGCATCAAAAATGTTTTGAATGGATGTTTCAATTTCATTATCGAAATGATATGCCACTCCCAATCGTTGCATTGTGTCTATCAACACAAGTTTTTGTTCACTACCCTCTGGAGCTTCCACCAGCATTTTCCTGGTTGTTTCTTTGTACTCATCAACTTCAACTTTTTCTTGGTTAGTAATTTCCTGCATCCGAAAAATATTCATCATACATTAATTAATTAATAAATCAAATATTATGTTTCGTCTTAAACGTATCGTTGTAATATTTAGACAATAATTAACATAAAAAAAATTTTATATGTGTGACTGACAGGAGTATAAGAAAGGAAATGATATCCCCAAACAGTTGGATGATAATTTGCCAAGGGGCGACACTTAATAGGAGAAGAAGCAGCCATTGCTTGTTCAAATGTTTTCTTTTCTCTTGCTTTTTTTTTTCAAGCTTAATTTATGGGTTTAAGTTGTGCTAATAGGATGGCCTATTTATAATGTACCGTAGTCCATTGAATTACATTTTTAGGATTCAATTAATTTGTTATTGGTTGCTTAAGTCTACATTAAATAAGTCAAGGCTTATTAATTAGAATTAGTTGTTAGAAAATAGCATACACTGCGGAAGCATTCCAGAATCATACATCATGCATGAATATAGACAACAACCACAAATATGTATCACCTACAAAACATTATGAAAATTAACTCAAGGATTACCTCTTAAAGCGTGTGCAGATATCTTGAAACAAATCAAACTCCGGCTCTACTGTCTTCTACAGTGATCTCAAACTAACAATTGAACTCTTTCAATACTTGAGTGGGCATTTATCATACAGAAAACTGAATGTCTTTCTAGGTTAGAAGAATCCTTACTTATAGAGATTTCTTCCCAGTCCAAAAAGGGGAAGAAAATACAAATCCTTTTTCTTCAAGAAGAGAAACACACGTTTCTTTTCTTTCTTGAAAAAAATTGCACACTACTTTACTAGAAAATAGGATTATGAGTTCTACTTAAATACGAGCATGGTAGGGACCACATAATTAATTACCGAGGCTTCCTATTGTGGAAATAATTTCAAATAATTAATTTGAATTATTCTTACCATAATAAATTACAAATCATTCCACTAGAAATTCGTAATTACACTCCTCTATTTATATTTCGAAATTCTCCATTAATTAAGTAATTCCCCATGTCAAGATTACAGGTACTAATCAATAAGCTAAATTACTGACGAATTTGATTCAGTGATTAGTTTCTTTTAGAGCAATACTTAACTTATTTCATGAACCAGAATCATAAATCTACCGGTCGGGTTCAAAATTAAAACTCTACCACTATCAAACAAAAAAAAGGAGATATTTTCTATTTCTAAAAGTAGAGCTGTTGAACCATCCGCATGAAAAATGCTAACTTCACCTCTAATCAGCTTGGAAGTTTCTTGAAACCCCTGCAAAGTAGTGCAGATATGATCAGTGGATCCTGAGGCTACATACCATGAATTGGTAGAAACAACCTCTAAATATGTTTCAACGAAGAGTGAAAGTGAGTTACCTAGATTGTTTTTCTTCTTGGCTAAGAAAACTGGACAATGCGCCTTCTAATGGTTTGGCATCTTGCAATGAAAATACTTTCCCTTAGGTTTTTTCATGCACCCAGTTGGAGGTTCAATTGCCTTAGTTTTGTGAGCCTTTTTCTTGTTCTGTCCACCTTGCGATTTAGAAGTAGAATCTTTCTCAACATACAATGTCATAGATGATGTCAATTTTTTGACAATTGTCTCTACCGCTTGCATCTCATTCAACAATTGTGCCAAACATAGATTCATCTTATTCACATTATAATTTAGGCAAAACTGTTGAGAATTGTCAAGTAGAGACTACAATATCATCTCAACTTGGGAGTCGTTGTCAATTTCATCCCTCAAGACCTCTAGGTCATTCTGAAGACCTATCATCTTCAGAACATGGTCTCTAACAGGAGTGTCTTCAATCATGTTAGTGTTCATGAGAGATCTCATGGCAGTCTACTTATCTGATCGACCCTAGTCACCAAACAATTGCTTGAGAGTTTCCAAATTTCAAAACTTGATGATGGATGATGTTGCAACACATTTAACATTGAAGCCATAATGGAGCACCGCGCCATCTCATCGGTTTTGCGTCATTTCTGATAAGCTACCTTATCCTCATCACTACACTATTCATCTTGTTTCAATAGACATTCCTCATAGAGTACAAACTTATACTCTTCATCAATTAACATGAAGTCATGATTTCTCCTCCAATCAACATCGTTAGGACCCTCAAGTTTGTTATGATCCAAAATAGTACTAAGGAGATTAAAAGGAGACATGTTGCATCTGAGAATAAAAATAATTACAATAGATCAAATCAAACAAGTAGTCATATAAACATTCAATAATTATATTCAAACTCATCACATACATATACATTCATGCATCTTGAAAAACCAATTTATTGGATTGGAGAACTATTCATACAATATACATATACAATGACCGATGATTCACTCCATAAATGTATACAGACCTAATTCAGATGGAGAGTCTACTATTAATTAATGTCAAGTAAAAATCAGAACTCTAGTTACATTGATCCAATCATATATTACTCAGTTTAGGAGATTTAATACAAATTATCAAACTAGCGATCAAATACATAGTGACTTGTATTAAATTCATCTGATAGGGAGGAAGGTCTAAGCCAACACATAAACTTAATACTTCATTACTATTTAATATTGGTAATTAAAAGAAAGAACTCTAATCACCATGTAATATATTCTTTGTACCAACTTTTTTTAAAAAAAATTCAAAGACCTACGGTTTTCACAAAGTATCATCACACATATATATACCATTACATGTAAAAAATATTTGAACATAACATTGTATAAACAAAATTATGAAAACGAGCCCCTATTTTGATTTCTGGTTTGAGAGTTTTTCTTTTTCAAATATAATTTTAAAAAATGAAAATACACGTATTATTCCATATCTGTTTGAAAAGAAGGGTGACTAAAGTGTATATATTTAAACTTAGAAGATGCTTTTGTATGTCCCAAGTAGGTCACATGGGTGATGTCATAATTAATTTAATGGGTATACCACAAAGTTTTCAAGACTTGTGGCTTAATGTCCAATTAAGTCTTGAGAGTGACTATTTTGCCAACTCTCCCGAGTAACACCTATCCACTTGCTCAATTATTAATAGTTTAAATTTAATTTCCTTAAATATTAGTCTAACTATGATTAAAAACATGACTAACTCCTGCAAATCAACAAGAAAGATAATTTTTTTACACTATATAGTGTAGACATGTAATTTTTAACCCCTCCCCTCCCCCTACATTTTTACAATACTTTAGCATTAAATATTCCTTTTATAGGCTTAGCTTGGACTTGGTTTTTCTCCAGTGAGATCCCCTCCATTTCCCCTAGTGCACCTTTCAATGAGTGACACCTATCCAAGTGTTTAATTTATAATCAAAATCTAATTTTCTTAAATATTAGCTAACTATAATTAAAAACACACCAACTACTGCAAATCAACAAGAAAGATAGATTCCAAAGAAAAACAATTGTTTGAATTGTGATCCTGTGAAATTGAACCAAAGACTTACGTAATCTGGAGGTTATAACCCCTCGAGAAATATGGAAATTTTCTTAAAAGATGGTAGCCCTCACTTTTGTTGATATGCATATTTATTGCCGCTAAAAAATTGTATTTATGGTAGGCCGCTAAAAAATTGTATTTATGGTAGGCTTAAGTTGGAATGATAAAACAGGAATAAGTTGAAGCAGATGTTGAGGGCAGATTGGACATTACCTTAGCTAGATATTTTGGTAGAAGTTGTTAGGGATATGGATATATACGTGTAGTTAGTTATAAAATATCAATTGTTAATTGTCAACTTTATAGAGTAGGGTATATACTTTGCAATGGTTGTACAAGCTAACTGATCCATTTTTCTCAACATGTATAGAATTCAGTTTCCCTATGGGGCGCTATCAATGTTGTTTAGGACTTTATACAATGTTTTTTTCTCTATGGCTATCAATGGTGTTTAAGAATTTTTAACATAGGTTTTTTTCAATAATGTCTAAGAACACGTGATTTAATTTTGTCAACAAGAAATTTTAGGTGTCTTTAGGTGCTCAAATATAGCAACGTGCTGCATTTTTCTCTCTTCAATTTCTATCTAAGTCTATAAATGCATGCACTTACTCACTTGATTCCTCAAATGTAGCATGTTTACGTTAATTAAACCCATTAATTACCATTATTGTGTAAATTTTAGGATTGATGAAGAGTAAGTGATTTTTGGGAATCAAACATATCATTTGTATTCTATCTCTCTTGTATCACTTGTATTCAAAACTTTTGTATTAATATTCCTTCGCTCTTGTATCACTTGAATTTAAAAAATTTACATCACTTGTATTCATGTAACATTCTGAAAATTTCTAAGTTAAGACCCGAACCATTCTTTATTTACATGTAAATTCATATCGGGTGAATTAAGCGGGGAAAAATTAGCCAATAAAAAAACAACTTCAAAATCTGGTTGTCGCGTGTACAAGTCTCTTGTGATGAAAACAAAATTAAAAAATAAATATAAGTCTCAATGTTTTTGTTTCTCAAATAGAATAAAACAAAGCATAAAATAAGGAACAAGAGGGCCCACCGGAATGACAAACAACTACCACTCAAAATCATCTGAAAGCCTCAGAGAAAGATGAAAAAGAATGTTCACAGGTCCGTGCTCAAAACCTACATATGTGTAGAAGCAAGGAGTGTGTCACTAGGCCGACACTCGAGAACCATTGTTGGTCCCCAAGCTAACCCTCATCCTGACTGACTAGAAGTGGAAGACTAACTCAAGCATACAAAGCTTAAAATTGAATAAAATTCATTGAACTCAATTACAAAATCTTTAACTCAAAAGTTTAACTCCGAATAAAATAGTTTAATCAACTCGCCAGAAATAGGCAACTCAAGTCTTTAAAACATTTTTAAAAATAAATGAAACAGACTTCTCAACCTTTATTGTCTATCTATGAGCCTCTAAGTGAAAAAGATGGAAGTCGGGACAAGACCCACGAAATCCTGACTAAACTGAAAAGTAAATGGAATCCTCCGGAAGCAAGGAAGCTCACCATAGTTAACTAGAATTGCAAGTGGTATCAACAAAGCGCCTATTGATAACCTTATCTACTATCACTCCCCGAGCCTACACCCTGGACATGCTTGGCACTCGAAGACCATTGTTGGTCCCCAAGCCCTTGGCCTGACTTACTTAACTTAGCAGAATACAATATTCATACTTATAATGATCAATAACACTTAACTGAACTGAATAGTAAAATAATTGAGAATG